GGGTTCTTCCAAGTGGAAGTAAAATATTATCAATTAATAAAGTTGTAATATAACTATGTTCAGAAAAAAATATGTTTTTTTTGCATTGTTGTGCAATTATATAATGCAATAATACAGAATGCAATTATATAATGAAAATACATATACTTTGAAACAAGAGACTTACTATATATTTTATTTTTTATTTATTTCCTCATATTTATATTATTATACTAGCTGCAAGGACCTGCTTCGCTGGATTTTTATTTGTTCGTACATTTGTATGTAATATAGTTGTTTTTATATATAAAAGACTGTTTTTCTAAGTAATCTAGAATCTAGCTGCAAGGACCCACTTCGCTGGGCAAAAAGTAATGATAGTGAAGATTAAGATAATTACATTATAGCCAATCTTACCCATTTTCACAGAATGCAAGAATTAGGTCCCCCGTTTCCAGACTAATTAGAGACCTGGTCCCGATTCTATTTCTGAACGTCTCCTGTTCATGTCCGGTCAAACGAACTATTTTCAATGTTTCTGGAATGTTTACGATCATTCTATAATGGAACCAATATTCGAATTTTATGTTTGAATTTAATTCGAACAAATTTAAACATTGTTCGAATTAAATTCGAACAAAACATTCGAAATAGAAAGCCACTTTCAACCACTTTCAAGCCCATATCTCTTGCACCCTTACAGCTATCGAGACGCAACCACCATAGTGCACGAATAGAGACTTGGGGTTACTACCACATACAAACACCATTCACGTGCGATGTGTAGTTTTTGCGAAAAAGTGAAATATAGGGACATACATGTCCATTTATATATATATATAGATTTTTATTTATTTATTTATGATTTATTCCCTAGTAAAAATATAATTTCCTCATTTTCAAATGATATCAGTTGGTTTCAATTTATGAAGTAGCTTTTAAAGGATGAACTGACCACTATAGTTGATCTGCTGAATTAATTAATGCACCATTATTTGTAGATGAATTTGAAGAAATGCTAATGTTTTTGATCTGGTTAAAAGACCATCCTCAGACATAGATGAAAGTGGAATGCCAGTGTCAGTTAGATAGGAAGATGGGAGAGTAAACAAGCAAGAAAAGGTGCACAATGATGGCAGTAATTGATGTGAAAGACTAAGGAGATGTTCCTAGACAGGAGAAGGGTGTCTTTTTAAACATGTTGGTAACAGACTCAATCTCCCCATCTGGATGGTTCATTAAGCATTCCTTCAAATTCATTCACTGTTAATGGTTCTTTGGGTGAATTTCATATAACTAATCGATGTAAATCATTATTAAATGATCTTGTAATTTTTTTATAATTTTAAATTCTGAATATACGATATCAACTGACATTAAATGGTATCATTTGGCAAATGTTCTGCTTAACAACAAGAGTATGCTGATAATTATTTTATTTTATTTTGCATTTCAAATACATCAAAATCAATTTACAAAGTAGTTTTTAATGTATCATATAATTTGATAATCAGCATACTCTTGTCGATAAGCAGAACATTTGCCAAATGATACCATTTGATGTCAGTTGATATAGTATACTTAAAATTTAAAAATATAAAAAAATTACAAGATTATTTAATAATGATTCATATCTTTTCCATCATTTAACATTCTTTTCTACAAAGTAAATGATTGCAAGTGATTTATCATTTCTTATCATTTAATATCACTTCCGACCAATTGGCACCTACTCATATTTGAAATCATTTACTGTTAGCAAATGATTTCAAATGATATTTTTATTAGAATTTATATTCTAATGCTCTGTTCTTTGTGTTCAATGTTCCAACTTCTATATAGCAATAAATATTTACTGATAAAAATGTACTGTACTTTTGTTTAATAACTCCAAAATTTAAATACTGTTACTGAATCTATAATTAAAGAATTTCAGATCAAAGTTTCTATTTATTTACACTATATTATATTATTCATTTAAGGATGTGTACAGTTATTAGGATTAAAGTTCAACTAAATGATAAATTAGGTAAAAATATTCTTAATAACTTTTTCTTACAGTAAGACTTCCTCTGTCTAGATTGAGAAAACCTTAATTGAAGAAATTAAGAGTTTGGTAGAAGTTGCTTTTTTTCATTAATCTTTATCTTATATATACAATTCTATCATTTACTTCCTTAACACTTCACTTCCAGCTTTGAATATTTATATTATTTATTTAATTATATATTGTATTATTCATTTGGTCATTCTTATTTAATAACTTATCTAGAAATTTACTTAAGATATAGAAAGTTCCTGATTATTTATAGTAATTTGTGCAGTTTTGCACTCTGCATTTCCAATGTTTGTTTGGGTCAAAAGAATTATTAATGTTTTTTGAAAGAAAATTTGATATCAATGTACTCAATTCAATTTTATAATACCAAAATTTAAAATAATCACCTGAAAATTAATTTTAAAAATATAGAAATGTATTATTGTTAATGATGATATACGCATAAAAGACGATAAATTAAGATTGTGTTTTGAAACTAATGTCATTTGTATCAATGTCAATCATTAAATATTTTTATAAATTATTATAATTCATATTTTTGCTATAATTTTTTTATTTTATATTATTTGTTTTTATTGGTAATTAATTTTTTACAAAAATATATCTGTATTGAAATTAATACAGTAAAATAAAAGTTCTCAACTTTTCGGCAGTAACAGTGAGTATATAGGACGTTTTCTTTGGACAGTTTCCAAAGAGGATTGATAGCTGAAGGTTTATTTGACATAATAAAGAACATCAAGTTATAAATTATTAATTAAGCTTGAAGCTGCTTCGTGAATTATTAATAAATTATTAAAGTCTAAATGAAAAAAGTTGGCAGAGTTAAGAAGTCATCATAAATTTAATCATAACTGTTTTACAGTTTTCTGGTTTCATCCTCTGATGCACTAAAAGTTCTAAATTAGAGCATATAAAACTATCCATAGCAACACAAAAATGAAACAGTTTCATTTTAGAATCTTCAGATTTTGAATTTAACTAGGGCTTCACATATTTTTATACTTGAAAAGTGAAAACTAAATTTAATAATATATGTATTCTCGTGTTTTATTATATAACTTTACTTTTGTAACTTTTATATTAATATAATTACATGAATTTCATTATATTTTAAGTTCAAGAATATGCAAAAATTTTAAATTCAGAAACATTATAAAACTGAAAAGTAAGATTGTTATAAAAATATATACTGTGTGCATGTATAACAACAAAGTTAATACCTTTCTAATTAGATAATTGGGCTACAATTTTTCAAAAATTGTAAACCTCTATAATTTTTCACTGGCATCCACATGTCTGTCTGTCCATCCTTAATCTGGAGAAGAGAGTTAGTTAGTTGAAAGTCAAGACCAGATATGGAAAGCTTAGGGGTAGGAGGTCCCAACTAACTATATACAAACTTTCGGTTTGCATTGGAAATCATGTTATTTAATTAACAATTTTTCTCTGAATAGTGTTAGTTGACCAACATGACTGTATTGTTAACAGGAAAAGTATGACTTACAGGGGCAATACACTACTAAAATTGAGAATATTGTGAGAAAAATTGCAGCCTAGCATTGTGACAATGTCACAATAAATAATTTCTCGTATAAATAATAGCAAATGCATTCATGTACAGGGTAACACAGACCACCCATATACCCTCTTTTAAAATGAAGGGATGTATCATTAAAAAAAACTAAAAATTTTGATAAGTAAATGAAATATGCTGTATCAAATGCTGATATTTTCAACTAGCTGAAATTGGCCAAAAATGAACTATCTAGACCAAAAGTCAAAATTTTTTAAATGGAACATCATATTTTTTAAAATTATATTTAGATTAAACGTGAAAAATAAGACAAATCTGTCTCAAACAAACATTTTGTTCTGAAAACGTCTCCATTGATCATAAAATAATCTTTAAAGTATGATGAACTCTCTTTGGCAAAATTTTATTATAAGCTGTTTTGTTGTGATATTTTTCAGCTGGCTGAATATTCAGCATTAACAAATGCAAACATTATGCTTGTGTATGTCACTGTGATCCATGTAGCCAAATCCTATGAAGTTCTTTGAGCAAACAAATACTTGTACATCATAATAACGTCTTGAAAACTTTAAGTTTGTTACTATATATTTTTAAAATACATTCAATTTAACAGACTTGGAAATAGTGAACATTGCTTCCCCAATTAGTCCTATTAAATTGAGAGTTTACTGTGTATATACCATATTTACTTGCATATAAGATGAGGTTTTTATTCATTTATCACAGCTTCAAATTCCTAGGTTGTCCTATATGCACGAGCGAAAGATTCTCTGTGTTTTGCAAATAATTTTTGTGAACTGTGTATTTGTATTTTTTACCAGATGCTTACTCTCTTGTAGTTAAAAACAAGTATTTTATCTAGGTCGTTTGAATCGTTCTTGTATATTGTTGGGAGTAAAGATGAATAGCAATAGGAAAAGCAAAGCTTTTGAATTGAATTCCAGATTGAAATTCCAAAATCACACAGGCGCACAATATGTTTTAATCCATTCCCACGTGAAAACGGATGATTATTCGGAAATCAGAATTCAGAGAAACTCATAAGTGTAATCGATGGAGAGTGAATTTGACTGTTAATTTAAGAATTGGCAAAAAAAGGCTCCCAATTGTCCAGCTTTATGTGAACAAATTATATTGATTTTACAGGATTTTTTCTTAAAATTTAAAATGCCAATAATTTTTGCATGACAATGTGTGCATTTACGTGCATTTCATATTTTATTTGTGATTAAATTAGAAAAGTTTGAAACAAAACAAATTATAAAGCATTTTTAACTTTTTATATAAAATTAACATTAAATAATTTATTAAGTTTCTATTATAATGTAAAATATTTAATTAAACTGTTTTATATAAATAAATTTTTTAATTATATTTTGTTTCAAAATTTAAATTGCTATTTACTGTACTTATTTTTAATTATAGCAAATGCTCCTTGTGGAGATATACAAATAAGGCCTCACTCTTTAATGGTTCATTCCTATAAAACACCTACTTTCTGTGATTTCTGTGGAGAAATGTTGTTTGGATTAGTTAGACAAGGTTTAAAATGTGAAGGTGAGAATATAGAATTTTGATAATTTATTGAATAATAATTCATTTTATACTATACATATAAAAATCTATTAAAAACTAAAATATTTATTTATTAATATAAATCCATAATATAATAGAAATACATTATTCATATACTTAACAACTTTAATGAAAATAAATTATTTCTCATTATTTTTATTTAATTTGACATTGAATTTATACTCTGACCAAATAAAATCTATTTTCATAATTAATTTAATTATTAGTTATTTATTTATTTTTTGTTTCTTTCTGCCCTGTGGGCACTAAGGAGGGTCTTTTTCTACATTTATTGTAAATTTGGCCAGAGACACAATTGGATGGCCAGGTGATTAGGGATGGGACTAAGTCCTGCATATCAAAACAGACCAGCCTGAAAAAATTCCTGGGGAGTTGCTCACCTGGATGTGAGGCTCCAGAATGAATTTGAACCTCAAAAGGTTTTGTAACAATTAATTAATAATGAATTATTAACGTGATGTGAAACAAACAACTGATTCTGTAAGATGTTGAGTTTATCTGCATCAAGATGGCAATGCCAGACTTTGACATCATCACTCATATACAGTCAAGAAAAGGAGAAGGAATTAATGAACAAAAGAAGTATAAAAAGGAAATTGTTTATTATTTAAAATGCAAAAAGGAAATGACAAGAGAAAATATGAATGCAGGTCTTAGTATTGTCAGTAATCTCGGTCACAGTCAAAGGGATGATGTTGGATGACTATCCTGGGCAGACCTTTCTTGCGACCTGAACTGGTTTCAATTTTCCACCTGGAGACATGTGAGAGACTAATTGGGGAGCAGGGAAGAAGAAGCCCAGCCAATTAGAAGAGGATTTTGGGACGAAAATTCTATAAAATCCAGGTCTTCAAGGACATGGCATGCTCTGTCTCTGTAAGCGTCAACAAAGTTTGTTCTTCTGTCATTGTCACCTTGACTCTAAAAATGCTGTTGTCATGTAAGGTGACAAGTTCAACAAAGGCAGTCCTTTGGACACCAACTTGCCACTGCCCCAGGACTGCCTGACAAACGACATTTGATCAAGAATCTATGCATGTGGAAGGATCGGGACATTAGATAACTTTTTGTTTATTCTCAAGGACCCCTTCTTACCTGTGTAAGAAACTTTTGTTATTAATAAACAATTTTTGTAAAGGCACTCTTTTATTCTCTGACCTCCTTCATCACTGCCCACATATTCGAATGTCCCTAGGTCATTCCTGACAAGGATTAAGGAATTTCTCCTGTAAGTCGGCATACTCACATGGATTTGATCCAGGGTCACCAGAATGTTAGGCAAATATCTTAACAACCTTGGCCATTCAGCCATCCTCCACAATTTATTTTAAATTTAAAATTAAAAAATGCAAATTTTAGGACTTTTACCTTTAAATATTTCTTATAAATATTATTTTTATATATTTAAATATTTATCGGAACTATTTAAAATATTAATTTTAGACATCTTGACAAACCAATACATTATGTGTTAATACTTAAGGAACTCTTATACTTGTAGATATGATTTATTTATATAAATTTTAAGTTTATTACATATATTAATATAGATCCTCAAACTTATATCCAATTCAAATTGCTTTTCTTGGAGTGAAAATTTTTAAAAATATTTTGTGCATTTGCCATCAGAATAAATAGCCACAATCACACACCTTTCTTGTCTAGCAATAATTTTTAATTAAACAAGCATTTTTTTGCCTAATTTATAGGCCTTCATCAGGTTCACTTTTTACTGAGCATATAACAAGATTCTAAAAAGAATTTGTAGATTTTAGATTTTGAATTTTTGTATTTTTATTCATTTCCTCTGATGGAATATAAGATTCAAATATTATTTAAAATCTAAAACTTACAAATTCCTTTTGGAACGTTCTTATGTTTGAATGCTCAGGGTGGAGAATCACATGAGTGTACAATGGTCCATGAAAGGCAGTACACGAATAAATAACAACAATTATTTATTTTTTTTCACGTGAATCGTAATATATAGGATTCTTTTTCAGATTCAAACTCTGAGCATTACAAAATATCCAAAATAGGAGCAAGGAATAGAGTAAATACAAATCAAAAGAACCCACTCGTGACAATTAAGGAAAGACTGACTTGTAATCTTATAACTAATACTTACACTAAATTATAAACTAAAAGAGGAAAGTAAGATTAACAAAAAGTTTTAGTATAATAGAAGAAGAGGTTATAAAGAATACCTGATTTTCTGTTGGTATTGATGCTCTTCTGGTGGGGAACCACTATAATTCATTTCCTGATGATCTTTAATTGGATCTCTTCAATGATCCTCCTTATACAAGGGATGTTCGTCTCTCTCTCTCTCTCTCTCTTTACATAAACAGGGTCTTTTTTCCTCTGCAGGCCATCTTCATCTCCCTTTGTCCTTCTAGACAACGAGCAGGAGCGTAACTTTCACACGTCTGTCTTCACCAAGAGTCCAACCCAAGAATGACCCTCCTTATCCGTTATAGAAGCCTCGGGGCTCCCACTTCCCATTGTCAATGTGGTTTTTAGAAAGGGTTACCCCACCCACAAGAAGGAATGTTAGTCGAAAATTTGAGAAAACAAAAGGGGAATGAAGAAGAAAGAAAACTTAAAACTAAACTTATATCTAAAATAAATACAGTAATATGGAGTATTGCCACATCAGTAAAAAGAGCATTCTATTTTTGTAAGTAAACCTGATGAAGGCTTATAAATTAGGCTAATGACATTTCTTTAATTAAAAATCATTGCCAGAAGACAAAGGTGTGACTGTGAATGCTTAACCTAAGTTCCAGTTTGTTTTTACTTTATCATTAGCAGTCAACAATAGAAAATCATGTTTTCTCTTGTTAGTTTTAATGATGTAGACTAAAAACACTCAGAGTTTTCTAAAACATTTTCACTCCAAGGAAAGCAGTTTGAATTACCTTTGTTAAAAGTTCCTGAAATCATTTGTTTCAATATTACAGATATTGATTTGATTTAAATACAGTATCTGAGATGAAATAGATGTCAAGAAAGAAACATTATATCAAATGAAATATGTATAATTGGCACAACTAAAAAAAATTACACATGTTAAAAATTATCATTTGGCCTGACATAAATAGTAATACTTCTTAGATTTCATGCTATTGTGAAAATGAATAGCGCGGACAGGAAAACACAGACACGTTTTACCAATTAAACAAGTTTAATTTCGCGCTAACATTAATATATATACAGAATAAGTTCGGATTCCCGCTGTTACCTACAAACGTACCAAAATCCCGAGCGATCAGATATACCAATATACCGGTAGTTACTTTTCCGATAACTACCTCCCGACAAAATTAGTTGCGTGCGTAAACTTAACCTAACTTAAAACTAAATTAAACTAAGAGATAGAAAAGATAGAAAGGGGAAATAAGAAGAATTAAAGGACAGAGGGTACCCAATTTTCCCGTTGGTTCTCCACCGTTCCTCGTCTCGGCTTCGTTCTCGGCTGTTCTTCCTTTTAGAACAATTTGGGTCCGTTTTGGCGTTTTCTTATAATCGTCGACCAGATTCTTCTGTCGATCCGCTTCTTACGGCCTCCTTCTGCAGCGCTCCCCCAACTTTCCGTTCCAGAGCCTGCTGCTACACGTCTCTCGCTCTCCGAGTCCGGCCTAAGAATGCCTAAAAACCCTTTGTTTTCCTCTCTTCCCAGCCCCGTTTTCGTCTTTTGTTCTAAGGCTACCCCCTGATGGGTTAGGGGTGAGGCAAGTTCTTGGAAATCCGAGACAAAGGAACAAAGAAATCGGAAGGAAGGAAAGTTCTAGAATTTAAATTAAACTAAAACTATACGGACTAATAATAATAATAACAATATTAATAAAAGAAAAACAGGCGTGTAGCCACACTATTATTTTTTATTGTTGATACAATCATGCTCAATGAATTTAATATTTTCAAATATGGCATGATTCATCTGTATTGAAATATACATATGTATATGTATTATAATTCTGTAATAGTTTTCAGAAATTTGTAATTCTGAAAAGAAAAAATATTTGCTTTACTGGAGTATAAAACAAACTAACATAAAAAAAAAATAAGCTCAAGCGCTTTTGGATTTGCTTGTCATTGGGAATGCACAGAAAATTATCAAATGTTGTTATCCAGTATTATTGTTTGAGTATTCCTGATGATAGATTTAAATCCAAAAGTGTTAGAACATATTTTTTATTTTTAAACTACATTACAGCAAATATATTTTTATTTTAATTTATGAATTCTGTTTTTTATTATAATTTTGAAAGTAAATATATTGAATATTCAAAATTTATTTTAAAAAAATTCAAAATTTTATCACTTAATCTCTATAGAGGAAATAAAAAGATATTTATATATAAACAAACAACACTACTAAAACTTGATACATTATAATAATAAAGCCAATCACTGCTGTATGAATCTGCAACTGCTACTTACAGTGCAATGCATTGCCAACCGATGATGGTTATAGCATAATGTTATATATACTGGAGGACAAAATCAGACCAGAGGTCTGGGTAGTGTATTTGGCAATGCATCTGCACAGTAAGCAGCAGTTGTGGGTTCGAGTCCCGCTCCATTCCGATTCTCTTCTTTCAGTTTAATCTAAATTATTTAATTAAAAATTATAATTATTAAATTTATTATGTGATGGCACCTAATGCCTCTCTCTAGGGTCAAATTGTTTGGTAATTTATTATTAATAAAGCCATTATATAACCCGATGACATATGGCAGTGGTTGGCTTGATATTTATGTAATTAAAAATTGAATTGTTTTTATTTTATTCTCAATCAGAAAGAAATATAACTTGTTTATAAATTTATACCCATATATAAATTTTTTATTTTAAATTCTATATTTTTATTAGGTTGCGGTTTAAATTTTCATAAACGATGTGCATATAAAATTCCTAATAACTGTACTCATGCACGGCGTAGAAGATCCTCAACGCATCTAAGTCCACGCACTCCTACTAATAATGTTTGCCATACAACAAGCAGTGCAGCTATATTTGTGGATGATAGTTCTGTAAGATATAAAGAAATTACTAAGAAAATTCTAATATATTATTTTAAATTTAACACTTAAAATTTTAAGAGTAGAGAATAAACATAATTTTGTAAAAATAATTATTTTTTACAGTGAATATTTCTTTTATATTTTTATATTTAATGTTTCTTCAAACTTCTCTTATAAGTTATAGTTTGCGGAATGACAAACTTTCTCACACAATAGTTAAATGCTGTTTCTCCTACGCGTCGTTCGCCTTCATTTAACATGGGTCGTCCAGCTTGGGTGGACAGAGAATTAGCTGGTCGTATTAAAGTGCCGCACACTTTCATGGTTCACTCGTATGGAAGACCGACAATATGCCAGCACTGTAAGAAACTTTTAAAAGGTGTAATTCGCCAAGGGATGCAATGTAAAGGTAAGAATTGCAAATCCAGTTATATTAGATGAACAAATGAAAAGTTTGAGAAGTATACTCCTTGCAAGCAATGAGCTTCTTTGTACTTTTTATTGTTCTGCTACATGCCACAAGAAACACAAAATCTTCAACATTTGATGGTTACGGACTTGAAGAAAAACATATTTGAAACTTCTCACCAGAATTGAAAAATATATTCCTTGAGAGTAAACTTTTTATTTGATCACCCTGTAATTAAATAAATTGATCAGAATTGTTTTTTAATTAAGGGTTTACACATTCATACATTATTTCACTATATTGTCTTCAAGTACTATCTTGTGACTAAGTTACTACCTTGCTCTCAAGAACAAGGTTATTTATTATATGCAAAGCCATGATTGATTATATTAATATTTTTAAAAGTAAGAATTTCTCAGAATTTAATGTTTCAGTTAAAAGTTTTTGTTTTACTGGTTACAAATTGAAATAGTTTTGTTTTGTATTCTTTAAACCATATATAAAAATTTTCAAAGTTTTTAAAATATTTTAAAAATAAAATGTAGATATTTCAGATTCCACATAAAGAGAAATTTTATTATTTTGCTTAATTTAATATTTATAGAATTTTCTTTATATTATCATACCTCTCAACCACCCGCCATTCAGTCAGGCAATCTGAACAGGTCATTTCATGTGCACCTGTCTTGGTAGCTACCTAGACAAAATGACTTCCATTCCAATATATCCATCAGATGATTGCAATAATTTAGCCAATTATATCATACATCTAACATAAGGTACCAAAACTAAAATTTAACTTAAGATTGCATAAGCTGTTTTCCCACAATTTAAATGGAAAATTAACACAGACAACAAGCATTACAATAAATATGTTAACATTGAATAACAAATAAGCTGTCAAAAGTGTAATATATTATTCCTTATAAATTATAAGTCAAATATATCTTAAGAGTGGTAGGAAGAACTTTTGAAATTCAAAATATATTTTGAGATGCATAATTGATNTGCCCTGTGGGCACTAAGGAGGGTCTTTTTCTACATTTATTGTAAATTTGGCCAGAGACACAATTGGATGGCCAGGTGATTAGGGATGGGACTAAGTCCTGCATATCAAAACAGACCAGCCTGAAAAAATTCCTGGGGAGTTGCTCACCTGGATGTGAGGCTCCAGAATGAATTTGAACCTCAAAAGGTTTTGTAACAATTAATTAATAATGAATTATTAACGTGATGTGAAACAAACAACTGATTCTGTAAGATGTTGAGTTTATCTGCATCAAGATGGCAATGCCAGACTTTGACATCATCACTCATATACAGTCAAGAAAAGGAGAAGGAATTAATGAACAAAAGAAGTATAAAAAGGAAATTGTTTATTATTTAAAATGCAAAAAGGAAATGACAAGAGAAAATATGAATGCAGGTCTTAGTATTGTCAGTAATCTCGGTCACAGTCAAAGGGATGATGTTGGATGACTATCCTGGGCAGACCTTTCTTGCGACCTGAACTGGTTTCAATTTTCCACCTGGAGACATGTGAGAGACTAATTGGGGAGCAGGGAAGAAGAAGCCCAGCCAATTAGAAGAGGATTTTGGGACGAAAATTCTATAAAATCCAGGTCTTCAAGGACATGGCATGCTCTGTCTCTGTAAGCGTCAACAAAGTTTGTTCTTCTGTCATTGTCACCTTGACTCTAAAAATGCTGTTGTCATGTAAGGTGACAAGTTCAACAAAGGCAGTCCTTTGGACACCAACTTGCCACTGCCCCAGGACTGCCTGACAAACGACATTTGATCAAGAATCTATGCATGTGGAAGGATCGGGACATTAGATAACTTTTTGTTTATTCTCAAGGACCCCTTCTTACCTGTGTAAGAAACTTTTGTTATTAATAAACAATTTTTGTAAAGGCACTCTTTTATTCTCTGACCTCCTTCATCACTGCCCACATATTCGAATGTCCCTAGGTCATTCCTGACAAGGATTAAGGAATTTCTCCTGTAAGTCGGCATACTCACATGGATTTGATCCAGGGTCACCAGAATGTTAGGCAAATATCTTAACAACCTTGGCCATTCAGCCATCCTCCACAATTTATTTTAAATTTTTTAAAATAATTCTGCTAAATGAAAAAAAAAAATGAAAATTTTAAAAACAGTAAGTTCAAATTAACCTGGTAATTAAGTTTTAGTACTTAGCTACTAATCTGATTTTTGACATTTTTTAAAAGAATTTGGAGTAGTTTTCATTATTTATCAAATTTAGATAGTCATAGATAAGAAAATTATTGAAAAATTCTTAGTTTTCTTCTTCAAATGGTTTAATTAATGAGAAAGGTTACATTAAACAAACCATTAAAATGAATTTTAACTTATATGTTGATATTTACTAATAAATTTTTCAAAAATATTTAGCAATGGATAGAAGTAGATATGATAATGGCAGCGAAGTAGAAAACATAGAGGACGGATCAGATGATAGTGATTGTGCTGTAGAAAACAGAACAAATGGAATGCAAACAAATCAAGAAGAAGAAGGAAAATTACCTGCAAAGTAAATTAAGAAATTTTATTAAAAAAATAAATTAAAAAATTTATTATGAATTAATTAAAATAAACAAATGTTTTCTTCCTGAATACTTAAATAGTAACACGTCAAGTAACAATATACCTATTCAAAGAATTGTACAAAGCATTAGAAATAGTAAAAGAAAATCTTCAAGTATGTTAAAAGAAGGATGGTTAATTCATTATACAAATAAAGATAGCATGGTGAGTATATTTTAATTGTTTACTTTGAAAATATTACATTTTATAACTGTTAAACAACTATATTATGATAATTCTATCGAAATTGGATTTAAAAAAGTGAATTTCACTTGTATTTTTTAAAGAATGTTTTTAAAGAAAAATTTTTTGGATTTTATTAGTTTTAATAATATATTTAGGGTTTTTTTTTTATATCTTTTACATATCAAATATCAACTAATTTTGTGAGTGTTGTCATGTTTAATAAAAAAAAATTTAAATTTTCATTTTTATTCTAGATGATCTAGTATTATTATTTACAAAAGAAAACATAATCATTCAGTTTTCTAATATTTGGATGTTGAAAGATAATTAAACTGTTTCTTGCATAATTTTTGGTTCACAAGACTTTTTCAAAAATTATATTTTAATTGTCATATTTTGAATCTAAACTAAATTTAATAATTAGAATATTAGGATGTCTAACTTTAAAATTTTTCAAACTAAACTGCCATTTTCCTAATCAGAAAGTTTTCCTTGTCATCACTTTAGTGATGAAACCATGCAGTTTTTTACGTAATTATTTATTGGTGGTGTTAGATCTTTTTGACCAACATATTTAATGTTAATTTAGAAAGTAGTTTTGATAATTACATAACTCATTTGTTAACAAATATGATAAATATTTTGGAAATACTATAAAAGAGAACAGTAGCTAACTACAAAATGAAAATGGTATTCTATATAACAACTTTCTAGATACACATTATACATGATACGAATCAAATGGAGGTAATATTTTACAATTTTCACTCTTTAATTTTGTTACAATACAATTTTTTAATATAACTTTTTTATTTTTACATCAAGGAAATAATGAATATTATTTTCAATTAGTAAAGAATAGTTTGAATAGACAAATTTAAAAAATTAGAAAATAGTGTCATCTTATTTTCATAGCTTGAATTCACAATTTTCATTTACTAAATATGACTTTTAAAAATTTCCTGTCAAAAATTTACAAATAAACACCTGGTAAAATTCTTATGAAATATTACATATCGTGTTGTAATTTGTTACAGTTTTCTTTATTGAAATGCTTAGAATTTTAACTAATACAGTAGAACCTTGATTATCCGGACTAATTGGTGATGAAGGTAGTCCGGATAAGGAAAAATCCGGATAATCGAAACATATACTTTAATTTGTCTTTTAATGATAATACAACACGTTTTCTTTTCAATGACATATCGGTAATATTAAAAATAAATACTGTATTTAAATCGTGATCAAATTTTCAAGAAACAAATGTTTTATTGAATTTGGACTACTACTGACCAACGCTAACAGACTACCTATTGTTTAAAAGGCCCTCTGGCGGCTCAAGAATACGGATTTTATAAAATAAAAAGCAGTTGAAACTGCATTTTTATGAATAAAAATTTGACAAACTATTTATCGTTTTATGACGAGTAAAATTTTTTGTCGCATTCTCAGCTTTTAAGTAATGCATAAACCTTCGAGGCGCGAGGCCCTTCGGACCGCGAGGC